TCTTGAATCCAGAAAGGGAACACAAAGTCCCCTAGTTAATGCTCTGGGAATGAGGGAAGACGTGTTTTGAGAATTTCATCCTGGGGAAGCAGGAGAAATCGTGTGCAGGAGACCATGAGAAACAAGATCCATGCCCAGCAAGTCAGTCTCCGCCCCTTAACCCTTCGCATAGGCGCTCACCTGATGTCATGCAGCTCCTGTTCTTCACTCTGTGCACCAGCACACGGGCCATTTCCTTCAGACAGGAAACCTTCCCTTTCTCAAAGGTGATGACTCTTACAAAGCACTCTGACATTTACTCAGTCTTATTTGGTGTTGGGTGTATTAGCTGTCAGGAATGCCAAAACCAACTACCACAGACTAGTGGCTTTGCAACAGAAGCTGATGTTCTCATGGTCCTAGATGGTGACGTGCAGAGGTCAAAGTGTCTCAGGAGTGATGTTCAAACACATTCCCACGTTGGGCTGCTGCCACGGATCTATGCATATTCACCACTTTATTTGCAACAGATTGATCAACATCATGGAAGCTAGAAACCACACAGCTGTTTCAGAATTCCTTCTCCTGGGACTGACAGATGACCCAGCCCTGCAGCCCCTTCTCTTCAGCCTGTTCCTGTCCATGTACCTGGTCACCATCCTGGGGAACCTGCTCATCATCCTGGCCGTCAACTCTGACTCCCACCTCCACACCCCCATGTACTTCTTCCTCTGCAGCCTGTCTATTAATGACATCTCCTTAAGCACAACCATCACCCCCAAGATGTTGGTGAACATCCTGAGACAGGATCAAAGCATCACTTACATGGGATGCCTCTCTCAGGTCTGCTTTGTATTAGTGTTTGTCGGTATGGAGAATTGTCTCCTTGCAGTGATGGCCTATGACCGCTATGTGGCCATCTGCAATCCCCTGAGGTACACAGTCATCATGAACCCCTGCCTGTGTGTCCTGCTTTTGTTGTTTTCCTTATTCCTCAGCACTGTGGATGCCCTGCTGCACAGTCTGATGATCCTACGGCTGTCCTTCTGCACAGACTTAAAGATCCCCCACTTCTTCTGTGAACTTGCTCCTATCATCAAGCTGGCCTGTTCTGATACCTTCATTGAGAACATCTTGATTTATATTTCATTTTGCATCTTTGCTGGTGTTCCTCTCTCTGGGATCATTTTCTCTTACATTTACATTGTGTCCTCTGTCTTGAAGATGCCATCATCAGAAGGAAAGCACAAAGCCTTTTCCACCTGTGGGTCTCACCTGTGTGTTGTCTCCTTGTTCTATGGGACAGGATTTGGGGTGTACGTTAGCTCTTCATTAACTGATTCACCCAGGAATTCTGCTGTGGCTTCAGTGATGTACACTCTGGTCCCTCAGATGCTGAACCCCTTTATCTACAGCCTGAGGAACAGGGACATGAAGGAGGCCTTCAGAAAACTCCTTTGACAGATAGTTTCTCATCTATGACAAGGGGTCTCCAGGGTAAGTCACAGTGAAGTGTTCCTGCTTAGCTAGAATACCTGATGCTTTGTCATTACATCCTTCTGAGATGTTGAGATAACACAATGACCACTTGCATTTTAACTTGGCTGAAACCTTACTTTTCAGGTGGTCTAGGTTGGTGGTGTTTGACTTATGATTTCCATTCTCTAAACACATTTCCTTGTTCAGGTTTCACAGAAGTGGAGTCTAAAACAGGGCTTCCAGTTTTAGTGAATTTCTCTGTGTTGCACCCTCAGTATATGGCACATTAGTGAAGCAGAACAGGGAAAGGATGGACACAGGAAAGCATGGTCACATCTGCAGGACAGCTTCCCCTGGAGCTCTTGTCCAGGGCCATCACTGCTGCCTTCCACT